TTGATGGGGAAAACCTAAGCCTCGGTCAGGAATAAATGAACTCACTGAGAGTATGGTTTTTACTTTGGTGTACTTACCTTTTGCTAAGTAGTGTCTGTTGCACCAAGATTCACAGTAAGCAGGCAGGGTGAAGGAGGAGAAAGCAACTCACCCGTCATTTTGGAATGGATTTCTTACCTGCCCCACTGCAGATAAGGGACATTATTGATCTGATTAGGGTAGTTCAATTAACAGAGCAAAGAGATTTCGAGACTAGAGAAAAGGCTAAATGACTTTTGTCCTTGACCTAGAGAAACTACCTAGGCAGTACTTCAGTTTCTCTGTCTCCTACATGAGCCTCGTAAGGGGTACACCATCCAAATGAGCGGGTCTCGAACCCAGCTGATGTTGATGTGGTTTGGGAACCACTGCTCCAAATATAAAGACTGTAGGGAGCTTTTGAGAACAGATCTATTTCATTTGGGCTCCCTCCTCCAAAATGGAGTAAGCACAGCCTGTGAAAAACAGTGTGAGATTCTCGAGCAAAACATACCATATCTTGGTAAATGAATGCTAAGTGATTTGAGGAAATATAAGATTGCTGTAGTAAATAATGCTTGATGACAAAAATATTTGGTTATTTTACAGTATTGCTCAAACGAGGAAAGAGCAGTAATTATAACACTTTCTTTTCATTCTTGCATAGCAAGCAGGATTCTCTGTGGCAAATGTAAGAAACCAACTTTATAATTTAGGAGAAAATAAAAATTGTGGAAGGTCATGGGGGTGGCTCATAGGAATAAAGGGTAAGATTACAAGGAAGCTGGATGGAGACGTAAAACATCTGACTCTAGGGACCTGGGCTGTAGGAACCAACAGAAGTCTCTCCCAAGGGGCAGTTGATAAAAGAGAAATTCTTACCAAATCGAGTGCTTTTAAAAATGTTGTTCATGGAGGGGCGCCTGGGCGGCTCAGTCGGTTAAGCGACTGCCTTCGGCTCAGGTCATGATCCTGGAGTCCCGGGATCGAGTCCCGCATCGGGCTCCCTGCTCGGCAGGGAGACTGCTTCTCCCTCTGACCCTCCCCCCTCTCATGCTCTCTCTCTCTCATTCTCTCTCTCTCAAATTAATAAATAAAATCTTTTAAAAAAAAAAATGTTGTTCATGGAGGAATGAACCAGCATGAAAAGGAGTGATGTTTAAGAAGAAAGCGCGCTTTAGAACTTCTGAGAAGCAGTCATTCAAAATGCATGTACTTTAATTCTTTAGTGAGTGTTGATCCCTTGATGAATTATACTCATTTAAAACTGGAAACAGCCCAACAAATATTCTATATAAGGAACATACCTTGGAGGAAGACAGCATGAGGAATAATAATAATTTTGTAAACCTGGCTGTGCTATCTTGAGATCCAGCAAAGTAATGTAAAAAAATAGGTTAAGTTGTGCAATGATAAACTTAGGAAGGCTGACAAGTCACAAGAAGTCATGGGGGAGGGGAGGGAGGAGAAGGAGGAGAAGGGGGAGGAAGAGGAGGAAACTTACCTTCCAAGTGGTAAAATAAAACTTATTTTGGCAGAATTTATAATGAACGGAAAATTAGTTCCTTTCCATGTGTGTCAAATTTTCTTAAAATAAATACCCTTACACGGATTGTGAATGATACCCTGCCCCAGCCAATGGATAACATTCCTTAACTGCTATTTAGTTCAACAAATTTTCAGACAATAATTCAGATGGTATTTTAGTGTTAATTGTCACAGAATTAAATCCAGAAGTCTTGATGATGGAATGATAGAGTTTATAGGACTAAATGTATGCGGTGAAGTGTGTCATTTTCCTAATACCACAGTAGAGAAGAAAAAGTCTTTTTCATCTTGAGACATTTTGCTCACTCCTACACGTATTATCGATGGAGATTTAGGTAAGCATTTTGACCTTTTTAAGCTTCCATCTCATCATACAAAAGGAGACGATTAACTAATTATAAACCCTGCCTATCTCACAGGATTGTGAAGTACATTGGGCAAAATGATGGGTGGTAAAATCACTTTGCAAACTCTATAGCACCTTATGAATGCAAGGGTTACTTATAGGTATCTGGACATATTATTTCATAATAAACTTCAGGGAAAAATTCTAATGTTTTGGATTTCTTGACTAGGAGGGCCATAAAAACTGGAAGTCATAGAATTCACATTCATCACAACCATTTGGAGCAATATTTCCCAAAGCAAAACAATGATTTTAAAGAGTTAAATTCAAAGTGCTAAGTTTATATTGTAACCCTTAAAAGAAAGTAATTTATGTCTGTAATATGTGCATCTCCATAAACCATTTCTTTTTTAAGACCCTGTGAACGACACTAAGAAAAGCTGCAGTTGCCAACACCACCTTTGATGTGACCGAGCATGAACATAATTAATATTGCATACAAATACAATCTCGAAGCATTAGATAGTGAGCTCACTGCTTAATTGTTCTGAAAATGATAGGGTATGCTTCTTTTAGACTACATCACCAAGAATTTTTTTTAATTGCCCTTTAATAGAAATCAGGCTATATTTTTAGTCTAGAGAAAACAGAGTCTGTGGGAACCACCTTCTTCCACCCATGTCTTGGCAGTGGGAACTAGTGTCTCGGATCAAGACTATTTACCGATCCCCATGGCAACAATGTGCTCTTGCTTGCATAAATTCTAATATCATAAGGACCCAATGGTTCTCTACTATGGCATCTCAATCCCAAAATAACTATATTGATGTGAAATATAAATGCTCTAAATAGAACATTTTTTTAAATTAAAATATTGCTATGATGCTAGAAAGTCTGATGTTGCCTTTTCACCAGATTTTCATTTTGGAATAAACCCTCTGCCATTTCTGAGTATGGACATTGGACCTTCAAAGGAGTTGGGCCTTTTAATCTGTTACTTAGCAGAGCATTATGCGGACTGCACCAATGCTGAGGTTGGAGCTCTGAGTAATGTCCCTACACCATGGAGCAACAGTCCATGAAGACACTGCCGTGGGTTGCCTCGGTTTAGGGGTCATCATCCTCCTGTTTGCCAGGCTCAAGTGTCCTACAGAACAGACTTCCTTCCATACACATACATTATCATTTTTGTTTGAGAGAGTGTAGGTGATGGTACAGATATTCTATTTCCCTTGGACAGCTTCCCCTCCAATGCTTCAAATGCATTAATTCTCAGCAGGTGAAATTAAAATACTTTTTATACTTCCGAACCATTCTCTTGTAAGATCTCCTATGATTGTGAAATCAGGGTTGAGTGAGCTGCAACTGGATGTGTCATTCACTGATTTTTTTTTTTTTTTTTTAGTAGAGATTTAACATTTCTATGCATTTTAACACTCTCTTTTGGTAATGAAAGCATTGGGAGCCAACTCTTTCTCTGTTCTCTCTTGAAGGCCTGGTGTTCTTTCTCATTTTTCAAGTGTTTCATGAACAAATAAAGTAACTTAGCATTGTCATGAAGAGGAGTGTTTCAATACTCTGGACCCACTGCTTGTACTCCAAATAATTTGCTTCTGTCCTTTGCATTATAAAAGCAACCAGATGAAAAAGAGTGTTGTACATCTAAGCATAGACAAAAGAGTTCCAACAAGTGGAAAGGTTGCCCAGGCTCCAGCTTGACTCCCAAGGTTCTAAAATAAGTGCTTTTTTTTTTGCTTTTTCTTTTTGCTTTTTCTGAAGTTGTCTAATGAGAATGCTAGTTGGGAAGGACTGAGTGAAGAAACAAGTGAATTTCAATCTCATTGAGGTCAAGAACTTTATTTTATTCATGTTTGTATTCCATGTGCTTATTGGCCCCGTCTAGGCCTTACACAAAGGAAGAAAGGAAAGATTTAATTAATCATCAAGTGGTCATTTTTGTGATATAAGCAGGAGAAAGAGCTTTATTTAAAAAATTATATTATTAAGATATACTAAACAAAGCACAAAGCTTAAGTTTGGGGAATATTTCTTTTTTAAAATTTTATTTATTTTTTAGAGAGAGAGTGCATGCAAGAGCAGGGAGAGGGGCAGAAGGAGAGGGAGAAGCAGGCTCCCCGCTGAGCAGGGCCCTGGCATCATGACCTGAGCCCAAGCAGACGCTTAAGGAATTGAGCCACCCAGACGCCCCAAGTTTGGGGAATACAGTTATGTGTCTGTCTTTATGTGTCTGCAGTATATTTGTGTGTGATATAGAAAGTGTAACTATAAAATAATGAGGCTGAAAGAGACACATGTTTTGGACAATATATTGGTGTTGAAGTCAAGTCTAACTAAATAAGGCACACTAAAGTGCTTCCCAAACTCAAGTGGCATCCAAACATAAAATGTTGCAATTACAGATTACTCAACAGCACATATTTATTGATCAGCTCCTTTGATCTATCTCAATAAAATAATAACATTGTTAGGGACCAGGAAGAATGAAATGACTCTGCCCATAGCTATACAAGTCCAGAAAACAGAGCATAACCAATATAAAAACTGATGGCAGGCTGTAGAGGTAATGCATATCCAAGACCCTTTAATGATGAGGCACTCTTACCTGTCCGATACACAATTTGGCTTTGGAATATATTGTTTCTTTTTTTCTGAAGGAGCATTTTTATCACTGTAATTTCAAATCATGGCAGCTCAGAAGCTGTCATTAAGAATAAGAGTAAACTGAAGAACTTTTTTTCCTCCTCCACAGACAGTATTGCAATCTATGGATGTAATGTGAACGTAGCAGCAGAAAAAGACATGAAACCAGACAGGTTCTCGATAACTTCGTACTTGGAGCCAATAGTGATTGTGTTTGCACTTATTCTCAGCTGCAATCACTCAGTCTCACAGTTGGACAACACCTCTCATTCAAAATAAACCTTCCATTCTTGATTGCTCCGTATCAGGTTGCTGCCACTTCCAGCAGTTTCTTGATCAGAACACATTGCTTTAAGATTTGCCTCTTTATGTCCTCCAAGCAAATGAACAAGCACAAGAAGATTTTGAAACATCTTATTACACTTACCAGTGTTATTTGACTCTGCAACGAGTTCAAAACAAATCACAGTGAGTAATGCTGTGGTTAAAGAGCCGCGATTTCCATTTACCTGTATCTGTGGATAAGGAACATGGTGAGCTTTTTGGACCAGAGACTCTCTGTCCATCATGGTTAAAATTTTACATGCGGGATGAAAAGACTGGAGAAAAGCAGAGTGATTTACTGAACTTGTTGCCTTCAGAAAGCAATCTCATTAAAGCAGTGTGTAGGTAGTTCTAAAGTATCACAAATAAAATAAGCTCAGGTTTGGAGAAATATATATCTCCCTGTAATGTCTGGGCATTTTTCTAAACACTCGTCATGCCTTTTCCTATGTTAATGGCTAGCTTAGATGTTGTATACAATACTTTATGGGTTCCAATGGCTGTGTGAGCCTCTGGACGTGGTTAGTTCCTCAGAAATGCGTAGTAACACGCACTTTTGCAAAGTCTCTCAACTTTTCTTTGGACCAATGGCCAAGTGTGTTCTGAGAAATGCTTCCGTGACTTAACAGCCTCACCACTCAGTACTTCCATGTCCGTACCAGCCTTACTGACCTTGCTCAGTCTGGCTCACTAAACTGACAGGATGTTTCCTAGTTGATCAGTGCCTTTAAATCACCTTCTCCTGCAAAAATGTTCACTGGATTCCAAGTGAGAGAGAATGCTATGGCATTCCAACATTTTCTCTTTACTCAGGTGTCCAACAATTGTAATCAAAATACATTGAAATTGCTTACCCTTGTTTCAGCTCATCTCTTCAAGCTCTGCCCGTAGCTCAATGAAACATTTGCAAAACCAAAACAAAACAAAACAAAAAACTTCTTCATTGTACATTAATGTTTCTGCCTGTTCTGTAGAGATAAGCCCATGGACATGATCACGCTTAACTGGGCTGTCTACATAGGAAGATAGAGTAAGATAGAATAGACTTTAAATGATACACTATTACAATTAGTAAAGCCTTTTAAACACTGGTTTTTTTATAGTCACTGATTTTTTTATAGTCACTATGACCAAAAAAACCCACCTAATAACAGCAAAATCTGAGTAGATTAATGTTAATTTTTTTATTAAAAATTCATTTATTTAGAAATATCACTTTAGGAATTTATTTAGGAATAGAACATTATATTAGGTACTATAAATAGATTATGTAGTATATACTAGTCTGAGTTCCTGAAGTCAGGAATATTCTAATCCACTTTACAGTTTCATTAGAGAACAAAAGTAATTGAATACTGTTTCATCTTGCTTTGCCTTGTTTTATTTTTTAAATGAGATATAGAACTAAACTCTCAAGTAACTATGGCTATCCCAACTTGTGTGCTTTCTCCTGGAAGGAGGTCCTTACGTTCCACATAAAGTCAAAGAAGTATCACTGGACACCTATGATGAGCTTGAGACCTTAAAGCCCAGAAGGAATATGAGACCAATCTGGGCTTTCTATTCTGTTGTTCAGGGGCTCATAATTGGAAGACCAAAAAAAAAAAAAAAAATTTGCTTGCAAAAAATTTTTTAAAAAATGTTTCTTGCAAATTATGGGATATGAGTTTAGAAAGAAGTAGAGGCAAGAGGGCCTATCATTTACAAATGGCACAGAAGAGCAAAATCAAACCCTGTGAAGAGAGTAAAAATGAGATGAATTTACCCAAGATCATTTCCCCAGATACCGCCAGCTCAGTTAGAGTCAAATTGCTATTGATGACTTCAAAGCACCAGATCATGTAATCTGACATACAAGGATATATGACACAAATAATCAAATATTTTAACAATAAAAACATGAAATGAATTAAATATTCCTGTTATATAGGGCTATTAGAATTACTTAAGGGACCTTCTAGATGCAATCTGTTATGTTAAGCACAGTGATTCTGCTTTTCAATGCGCTGGGCAGAATTTAAAATCCAAGTGGTCATATAAGCATGGCAGACCAATTTTTAAACTAGCTGAAGCCCCAACACTTCATTCTACACCTCTCCCCCTCTTCCTTCTTCTCTTCTAACATATTCAATAGTTGACTTAGAAAGTAAGATGTCCCTTTAGAAACAAAGAAGACATTAAGAATTTTCTTGCCAGGGGCACCTGGGTAGCTCAGTCCGTTAAGCGTCTGCCTTCGACTCAGGTCATGATCCCAGGGTCCTGGGATCGAGCCCCACATCAGGCTCCTTGCTCAGTGGGGAGCCTGCTTCTCCCTCTCCCTCTGTCTGCTGCTCCCCCTGCTTGTACTTGCTCTCTGCCTCTCTCTCTCTGTGTCAAATAAATAAATAAAATCTTTAAAAAAAAAAAAAAAAAAGAATTTTCTTGCCAGGTAAGAACCCACCCACCTGTTTGTCTCAGTAAACATTTGCTTTCAAGATTGCTATAGTATTCTATTATCAGGTCTCATCAAGAAGGAAAACTAAGTCTCATAAAAGAATCACAATTTTGATTGTGCCAAAACTCCTCCCTTTAACATTACCTAAAACCACATGCTAAGCCTGTCACTCGAGGTCCTTTGGGTTTTGTCCATCCCAAGCCTCAGCCAACGTGAACTCCTCACAATTAGTCAAGCAGATTCTGAACCATATTGCTTCTTGGCGATGACTCAAACTCTGTCCCCCCTGGAATTCTTGCCTTCTCATTTACCCATTTATTCACACAGGAACTTAGGACATATGTACTCATTACTTGGTCTGGGCCAGTCTCTGTGCCTGTCTCAATTCTAACCCTACTTCAAGAGTGAGGAGTCTCATTCAAAGCCATGCAATGAATCCATGACGTCTTTCTTTATTTTTCTGACAAAGGATAATTTACTGATCTATCCATTTTGTCATTTATTCATTTAAATATTGTATTGAATGCCTATTGTATGCCAAGTCCTAATAATACAAGTATACATGAAATCTGTTCCCTGACCATATAGAACTTGAAGCTGAGTTGAAAAACAAACCAGTGAAATAGCAGGTACCCCACAATTATAGAGTGAAGGGTTGTACAATGTGTGTTCCAGAACCTAAACCACACGGGAAGGGCGAGGGTCCTCTCCCCAGAGGAGAAAACTGCTGATCTGAGCCTTGAAATTTAAGGAGAATTAGCTAAATACAGAAGAGAATGAAGAATGTTCTATGCAGAAAGAAAAGGCAGAGGAAAATAGCATAAGAAGTATGAGGAAAACCATGGCTTTCTACCTGGCCGGGCTGCACATACACGACAGCCATTCAAGGCAGCAGAAATGAAAAGACCTTGGTGGGGGAGTGACCAGAGATGAGATGAAGATGTGAATTGCAAGTAGATTTTGAAACATATCTGAGAACTGAGCTAAGAAATTTATATTTTATCCTAAATGGTTTGGGGAAGGATCAAACAGTGCTGAGGACAGAGGGGAAATATCAGAATTTGATTTTGAATGTTACCATCATCCACAGAAATACTTGAAGCTGAAAAAAAGAATTCCCGACAAAAGCCTGATCTCTCAAAATGGATGAAATCCACTTTTTGTATTAATTCTGGTTTTCTTTTTCTCAAAGAGCAAGAAGTCCAGGGGTGGGTAGTTCATTGCTACAGCCTCTGGATGATGCTATCCAGAGCTGAAATTCTTTCTGTCTGTCTGCTCCAGCTTCCTCATCTCTTAGGTCTGTGTCCTCCTGCTTGTCCCCTCCTGGTCACTGACCAGCTGCTGCAATTTCAGGGGTCAAGTCTGTTCTGTGGGAAGGAAATAGGTGGAAGACGCAGAGGGACAAGAGGGGCAAAAGCTGAATCTGTCCCTTTTTAACAGATAAATAAACACTTTCCTGAAGTCACTCAGGGGATTTCCTATTTATACCTATGTGGCCAGAACCCCGTTACATGGTTGTCCCTAGCTGCAAGGGACAGTGCGGGGGAAAAAAGAAAAAGAGTTTCCTTTTCAGATTTCTTTCTTTCTTTTCTTTTCTTTTTTTAAGTTTTACTGATTTATTTGAGAGAGAGAGCACGGGCAGACGGAGAGAGAGAAGCAGACTCCCTGCTGAGAGCCCCCTCCCTACTCGGGGCTCAATCCCAGGACCCCGGGATCATGACCTGAGCCTAAGCAGATGCTTAACCAACTGAGCCACTCAGGCGCCCCTAATATATCTATCTTGTACTCTTCTCTCTTCTCTTTTATACAAATTTTATTTTTTAAGGGTTTATTTTCAAGTAATCTCTTTTTTTTATTATGTTCAGTTAGCCACTGTATAGTACATCATTAATTTTTAATATAGTGTTCAATGATTCATTAGTTGTATATAATACCCAGTGCTCATCACAACATGTTCCCTCCCTAATACCTATCACCCTGTCACCCCATCCCCCACCCCCTCCCCTCTGAAACCCTCAGTTTGTTTCCTGGGGTCCATAATTTTAAAACATACACAAAGTAGAGAGGATAATATAATGAGTCCCCTATTGATCACTCAACCACCTGCGACGATTATCATTTTTGCCAATCTTGTTTCATCTATCCTTCCCCTTTTCCTCTGGAATGTTTTAAGCAAACTAGTTCCATTTCAGTACACAAAAATGAATTATCCCTGTATACCTCAAATTTATTTTTTCTTCAAACAAGAGAATCTATAAGAGTTTTAACATGACTCTGAAAAAAAATGGCGAATGGAAAAATGTTATTTGGAAATTCTCTCTTTTACATATGTGGACACACACACACAAGAGTAACAACAGACTGGAAAAAAAAAGAGAGAGAGAGAGAAATTTTAAAACGGAAAAGTCCAATTTCCAGGAACTAGAAGGCTAAGTGGAGTTTCCACAGTCCCCTGAAGGAGTACCTCTCACCTACATCTTTATTAGCCAGAGCCGATTTCTCCTTCCCCACCACCACCCTTAAAATTTAGGTCACAGCTTTATGTCATTTAAAGTATCACTGACAGTTAACAAATGTAGCAATTAGCATTCTATTCAAGTTTACATTCTTTAACATTAAAAGAAATTTTCTGTATCTCACACTGTATGCTAGATGGTAGCTTATTAGAAACTGCCCCACTATATCCTAAATGAGAAGCTGTTTAAGGAAGAACCTGACCTCTCCTGTCTTAGAGATTTTGATTACCTTGACCTTCTGCTCTTACCTGATCCTTTAAGACAAAGAATTCAGAGTGTTAGCAACTATTCTTAACTAAATAAATACATTAAATACGTATGTATTCATTCACACACAATGTCCATTTGTTCAGCCATTCATTTATGTGTCATCCATTCACTACACATTGCGCAGGTCCTGTACATATCTTATCTCTAAAATCTTTAAGGTTGAAGACCCCGGCCAGGAACAATAATCATGCCTCTGTTTTCATAAAACTAAGCAAACCCACATCCTAAAAGCTCTATGTGGGAATCAGGGGGAAAGCGATTGTTCTCTAAACGTCTGGGGAGTAAAAATGCCAATCTGAAAGCGTATTTCCAAAGAGGCGTAGTGGCAGGACGGCAGGGTGGAAAATGGGCCTGGCTGGAAGGATCTCTATATGTGTATTTTTATCATCCATGTGTTGGATGAAGCGGAGAGCTGCCAGATAGCTGCTTTTCCACAGCTTGGAGTTACTGTTGGGAACAGATCCATGTATGGAAGCGAAAGCCGAAAGGCACAGATAAGCAGAGATCCAGCTATGCAAACCATGTTTAGAGACACTTAAAGGACAAGCATCCCAGGTCCTTTCTTTCTGGTAAATTCGGCGAAGCCATCATCCCGTGTCTTTTTTCACATCCAGCCCATGCGGACCGAACAGCCCAGACTTGACAGAGGTAGGTGCAGGGCTTTTGTGATGAAACTTATCTAAAGGATCATTCATGAATATTCCCTCCTTAGAGAGAGCTCTTGATGTCCTTTAAGGGAAGCTGCCAGATGATATTTTGAAAAAAAAAAAAAAGAGAGAGAAAGAAAAAAAAAAAGAAAGAAAGATTTGGGTTGGGGCTGGTGACTAAGAGGTATTTAACAGCTCTGCCTTCACAAACCAGGGCAGCTTGGTTACAGAGGGAAAGGGACAGCACAGAATGGCTGCCAAATATAATCCCTTTTTCCGGGGTCACTTACCCTTTGGATTTTTGTGGATACGAATCTTCCTGGATATTGCCAGCACCTTTGGAATGGGCCACAGCTTCCCGTGGATTCTGATACGGGGTATTTTAGGCTGGGGTTGGTAGGATTTGCCCTTTTCCTTGCTTGCTCCCCCGAAGCCAGCATAAACTCACACGTGGGGCTAGTTCTTCCTTAGACATGGAAGAGCTGCTTGTAAACGACATTATTATTTTTGGCAGAGGAAGTCATTTTTGCAGTGTTTCTCAGCAGATCGGAGGTTGATTACATCCTGTTCAAAGATTCTTGAGTTGCTTTCACAAACACGGGTCTTGCGCAAGTTGCAATTGTTGAAACCAGCTGTAACACTGGACTTTTCTCGCTACCTTTAACATTTCTCTTTCTTTTTTGTTAATGACTGAAAACACGGGAACTTGAGGGGAGATTTCCCCAAAGATTATTCTAGGTTAGCTGTCAGGGTTGTTTGAGAATTCTAGACTGTGGCAGAACCACAAAAGCTGCGTGTCTCAGGGGTCCAAAGGAGAAGTGTAAACGTGTAGACAAGAACAATACCAGTATCTATGTGACTCTAGTCTATTTTCTAAAAATACTGGTTAACCCAGACAAGTCATATCAATAACACTGTGAAATGCTACTCTAGCTAATTACCAAATTGTAATAATTAGATCATTAAAGCTGTCCTTTTAAAATTGTTGGCAAAATCTGGGAACAATTACCTAACACTCACTAAAGTCAAAGGAAAAATTTACAGGTCATATCTGTAAAACGTGTGTGTTTTTCCAATATTGAAGTAAAAGAATTTTTTCGCAAGAAAGTGAAATGTAAATTTAAAATTCCTGTTGTTGAGAATAATGTGTCTATATTTTAAGCAAGATTTGAACCCCCTTGTTATTTAGCTTTTCAATCTTAAAATAAAGCTTCAGAGAGGAAAAAAAGAAAAGAAAAATTGAATGTGGTTTTTCCTTCCCTGATGACAAAGCATGACATGCAAAATGATTAATAAACAAGTGTAAGAAAATAATAAAATGGTTTATAACACTGAGCAAGGAGATGTTCTTTGGATAAATTAGGTAGCGGGAAAGCAATTCGCTTAGGGGATATAGATAAGATGACTATAGTTATGCAGTGGCTTCTTTCAAATTGTTAATGTTGTGTAATACAAAAAAAAAAGTAGCAGAGAAGGAGAAAACATGGTTCTATTCCAATAATAATACTTCATCATTATTAAAATAATTATAATACAAAACACGGATTTTTTCATCAAATTATTCCTTTTCATGTCTAGACTACTTACACTGACAACACGTTAAATTAACAACACATTCAAACTTACCTTTCACCCATCTCTAAAATAGGCTACGTTACTTCACTTAAAAATACTAATATTCTGTAAATGCGCACGCGTGAGAGAGGGAGACAGAGAAAGGCAGGCAATAAACTATGCCTTCTTTTTTTAAACCAACAGAGACAAGCTGTCATAACTTTAGCTAAAGTGGAACAGGCCTACAAAAGGATGGCTTTAAAATATTTAATTAAACACTACATACCAACTAGCTTTTCTAAAGGAACGGCACAGCAGGAGTCCGGGCAATTTTCAATAACTAGAAGGCTATTATAAATTATGTCACTAATATTTGTGACCAGATGCGATGCATAGATGACATCATTGGCTGTTTTCTCAGTTGCTCACTGCCAAGTACATTTCAAGTGTGCATTCCTCATGAGAAATGCCCATTCCTGTTTTTCTTTAGCAAGCAAATTTGAGAAGTGTAATATAAGTAATAAAGAGTGACTTACTACTATTTTGATATGGAGTATGTAAACGTCTATGGAAAAAAATGGACAAATAGTTAAACTATTTGATCTTTTGACTATGACCTCTGCAGTGCTCAGTGATGACACTACATGTAGAAAATCTTGGGAAGAACATATTTTGAGAAGGAAATTGGAAGTATTGACAGTCTCATGTGAAAAAAAAAAAGACTTGGATGTTCTATGCCATAGTTAGCTGAGATATGAAGGAAATTCATGGTGACCAAGAATGACAAAGAAGTTGAAATTGATCCTAAGAGCCTAGAGCACAGATCCGAGGCTCCCGTGTATATTGACAAGAGCAGACACGATAGTTCCTGGACTGGGTCAGTTGGCTCCAAAGAGCGGGAAGAGCAAGTGCTTGTAGGGGCTTCGGTGGGAAACAACTTCCCTGAACACTAAACGGGGAGTTTGTATGAAAGTAAGAATAGAGGTTTACTTTTCCAGAGGTACGAAAGATTTTGACCTACAGGAAAGGTCGTTAAGTTTCAAGGAAATGATAGCATTGGTTACTTTTTTAAAAATCCCTTTGGGAACTTTAAATAAAATAAGATTGTCTCAGATGATTAAAAATTGTGGTACATTGAGTGGTCTTTGACCAACCACTGATGATTGCAAGAACCTTAAAGCGGGCTTGAGACTAAGGAACAAATTTGAAGACCAGAGAGGCTACCGACTTTCTCCAAGGTTCATCAGTGGGAAGTGAAATTTCCCCAGAATCCAAATCATTTGGTTTTCTGATCAGAACTAGCCTGTCCTTGCGGCACTTCTTTCTTAATCTTAAAGTTACACGATATTTTCAAGTGGCATGGCAAGATATGAGAAGAATTCCATGACAGAGGATTTTTAAAGGTAGTTTTAAGGTATAGAAAGTAATGAGAAGGTGGGGCGCCTGGGTGGCTCAGTCATTAAGCGTCTGCCTTCGGCTCAGGTATGATCCCAGGGTCCTGGGATCGAGCCCCGCATTGGGCTCCCTGCTCTGCGGGAAGCCTGCTTCTGCCTCTCCCACTCCCCCTGCTTGTGTTCCCCCTCTCACTGTGTCTCTCTCTGTCAAATAAATAAATAAAATCTTAAAAAAAAAAATAAAGTAATGAGAAGGTGACGAATTCCTGTGGCACTTAGTGCTGGTGAAGAGAAAATGCCCTCTCCTCTCCCATAGACTTTTTCCCAT